TTTGCTAAGGGCAAAGGCAGGAAATGTATTTGTTTCAATTTGCAGAGCGGTTTAAAAAAACGCTTCCTGACCCCCCCAGGCACCGTAAACTCCATACTGTTCACGCTTAAATAACACTGTTGTGATCAGCTAACATGCCAGGAGGTCCTTCAGTGCCTGGCTTATAGCATGTAACCGTGACCCAATGCATTTAGCCAAATCCAATCCACTCTTTATTATATTTAACCATGGCTATATTTAACCATTCATTAATACAATAAAATCACATCCACATGTGAGTAATTTGCTTGCTTTGCAGACTGTAAAGGTGTAGTTACACCCGGGCAGTTTCCAGTTGGACACCATTATTTAAGTCCAGATGGAAGGTATATCTATACGCCATCATTAAATGGCTCCAGGTGAGCACGGAGGTACAGTTGAGATCATTTGCATATTTTTCAGCTTCATAATCATAATCAGAGGGAATATAACAGAAATATAGAGTCAGCTATGTTCACCTTTTATATAAGTTGCTCGAACTTATATAATATGCACGCTGCATTCATTTTATGGTGATGTTATTCATAGTTTATGTAGGCTCATTGTTAATTTTTTAAATGATTATTTTTAAGGTATCATCTGCGTACACTGAAGCCCTGGCTTGCGGTAACGCCCTTTGCTGCCCCGTTAATGCCAGGATGTGCCCAGGCTTAAACAGACACAGGAAAGATAAGGTGGTAAGACTGGCTTCATTCGATGGGATCAGTTGCTCTGAGCTGATAGATTACGTCCTGATGACTTCCTCCGCATGTTCTGAGTGTGCTGCGATGCTGGCCAGAGGTTGAGCCGACGGCTGCCGCACTCCGCTGATCCCGATGGTTTACTGGGAGATGGCATTTACCTCTGCAGGCGTATGGTGTAATTCCCGCTGCCTTCATTACCCCGGCCGGTGGACACAACGTGATGCAGATTCCTCGCAGCCTCGGCAGAAACAGTAGGATGTAGCTGTGAAAATACTCGAGCGTGTATGACCGTGCGCTGTTTGCTCATTCCGCCGCGCAGGAATCTCCCGTTGTGCGTGGATTTGCTCGAAACAGATGCCTGATGTCACAAGGCAGCTTGGTTTCATAGCACAACTTGTGTTGTCACAAAGAGACCCTTTTGAAATTGACAGATGATTCTTATATAGAACTTTGTTTTATGAAGCCACATCTGTTTTTTTTTTTTGTCAAATCATATGCTAGATTGATAGTGCCGCCCAAAGTGGGGGATATGTGGGTTTATTGATCTGTTTCTGCAAGCATTTATTCAGATCCAAAGTCAGCCCTAAGGGTCACATAACAGAGGACTGACCATCCGTAAGCACACGAGGGAGTCGGATAGGGACTGTTTTGCTGTAACTTCATATCTTTGGCCTAACAGAGTAGGCAGGGAAAATACATGCAAAGAAAGGCTCAGTGTCTGTATTCAAACTCTACTCTCAAGATGTGAGGTGAGATCTCAGCTGAACTCGAGGTTGCTTCATTTAACAATGAGTAATATAATTCCTCCATCGAGTAAATAATCACACATTTAAACCTGCATGCCAGGAGGAAGCATGGGTGGCATCCTTGTTGTGAACTACTGAGCCCAAATAGTTCTGGAATGTTTATATATTGGAATTATTGGACTGAACCTCATTTAGTGATGTAAGCAATACTGAAGATGCACGATGAAGCGTGTCTTTGTGCAGCATACTGTACATTAAGGCTCTAAAACCAGTATCTTAGGTGTAATATTGGCTTTAGTGTGTTGCTCAGTGGGCTAATCCTCTGTGCCTGTAACCAGAAGGTCGCTGGTTTGAGCCCTGCTTTGGCTGAATAGTCTCATGTCGGTTGGCCCTCAAGGAAGACCTGTAACCCCCACCTCCCTGGGCTCTGCAAAGTGGCTGCCCTTCGCTGTGAGTCCCAAGATAAAATGTAAAAAAAAAAAAAAAAAGACGATGGTTCCCACCCTGTACGTACCGCCTTTAAATAGCTTGAACACTCTCCTGCTGAATTTCAACGGAATTAAGGACATTCAGAGACATCTGACAGATAGAGGAAACAATGTATCCCCTTTAGAGGCTCTCTTTGCAGTCTCGAAGGTTTTTAAACAACATATTTTTGGCTTCCATACTTCAATAGACATATATTTTGTGACACGTTGACAAGAAATTCCCTGAGGCCGTGACATCGTGTAACCATTAGAAACCTTGTTAGAATGGGATTGGTACATCTATGTTAAACAGCCTTACAAATCAAGCTGATTGCCTCTCTTTTATGATTATAATTACTAGGTAACTGGAAACATATGGTAAATGAATCAGTATGATAACGGGTTTTTTTTTCCTACCCTGTAAGGAAGCCAAATAATGAGCAACAATCATAGTAACTAATCTTTAGTATTTTCCCTCTACTTTTAATCTAATCAAGGATTTATGAAAAAACAGATGACAATATAACTCATAATGGCTTGCATTAAAAAGTATTAGTTGGAAAGTCTTGTAGGTTTCAGCAAAGTAGTTTCAAACATAAGCCTCCTATTGGTGTTTTTACAATGGCCTTATACACACTATACGCAGTCAACCTTCTGCATCACGACTTGCCCCGTCGCGGTTTCGATATATCTCAGGGTTGGCATAAGAAATGAAATGGGAAGTTTTGCGAATGCCATGGACAACATGTGAAGGCCAGCAGATGACACACAAAAAGTTTAGTAACTCATAAATGCATAAAATATATGTACAGTGCTGGTCTGGACGACGCCAAGTGTGTTTACAGCAGTCTCTCGCGTGATATCTCACAGTGATCTTTGTATTTCGCGTTTCTCGTATCTTCCCACTTCTCTTTGCTTGCCAAGGGGGCCAAAAACTTTTACGGGGTTTATCCCGATTGCGGGGGGCCTGCGCCCCTAACCCCCACGATGTGGGATGATGAACTGTATAGTGTTTACATGTACATACACACAGTTCGGTGCTAAGAGTCATCAATTAACGTCACTGTTTTCTACATTGCTTGGCAAGGGGTAGACATGAACTTCGGGAATCACAAAATGCAGACGGCATCAGACCTTGCACGATAAATAAATAAATAACCACGTGAGTGACTCATGACCATGTACACCTCTTCAGATCTTCATTCTCCATGCTTCTGTATTAGGCTGCTGTACTAACATTATGAAGGTTTCCCTGCTCATTATATACAAAGCCTTTCATCTGGAAATCTGACAAGGGAAAAGCAAAAAAGGCTTTTAGTCTTTGTCTCTGTAAAATTATATTTACATGCACAGAAGAGCCCTTCTCAAAAGTTCTTTCATAAAAAGGTTAATTACTTTATGAAGAAAGCCGTTTGATACCCTAGGGAATTGTCTAAACATTGACAAATTTTATACGTGACATAAGTGTATAACACTATAGTCGCACTGGGCAGAGAAAGCCCGAGCTAAATCGGAAAATAGTAGCTTTGGCTTCAACTTAGTTTGTATTTAATAATTGAGAGGAAAGGCATTGAGCCGCTGAGTTCGAATAATTCTCATGAGGCCTTTTCTGCTGGAAAAATGCAGCCATTACGCAAGCGCTAGATCTCACGCTAAAAAGCATTTGCCGGGCTTTGAGGCGACTGAAATTGGCACACGGGGGACGCTGACGGGCACTGGCCGAGCTGCCAGAACCTCCACCCACCGACATCCGCTGGGGCTGGGGGAGGCGGGTAGCCAGCACCCAAATTTTGGGAGCGTTAAACCATGTCATCACATCTGCCTACGGCCTTAATGGGACATGCCATGGAAGTCTTTGGATGCTGCCCCCCTTGCCCTTCCTGTTACAGTGCCATCTAAGGGATGGCATTTAGTCTGCTAGCTGTTAATATTTCGCTTAGTAGATTTTCAGGGTAGACAGATATGGTAGAAAGACAGTCATTCTTAGATTCTAAGCACTTGCATGCATGCATAAATGTACAAGCATAATTGTCAAATAGAATGTTCATTTTTTTAAGTGGTTGAGAATTCATCCATCAGTCCATCCTTCCAATTGCTTTTCAAGTACAAAAATGAAACATAAAATAATGGTATAAAAGTAAAAACCTAAATAAAAGAACTTCACAATACTGCAGCAGTTTTATAAAGCATCAGGTGAATAATACTCAAGACTTATATAACATTCAGAAAGTGTTAAAAAATATTCCAGCAGATCTATACTACCTGTTCATTATGCAGATTGTCTTCATAGGAAGGAATTGTTGCTGAGAGTTAAACTGAGAATATCTATCACTGCAGCAAATGAACTAAAGTCTGCAGATGGCTGGGCCTTCCATTTAAATGAGGGAGATGCATGCTCAGAAACGATGCGTGCGTGCACGTTTAAGAAGTGAAACCGCTGTACATCACCGGCCTCAGAGTTACCGCTCATTATAAGCGTCAAGGTTGAATGCACAATTACTGAGTACTTTATCTCAGTTATTGCTTTGTGGGAATGCCTTTGTGAGGAGGAGAATATGAAAGAAAGTTCCACTGGTTAATTTCCCCTGCTGTACAGCAAGTCATAAACATGCCTGGGAAGCCTTCTGAGACAGAAGATCTGGATGCTTTGGGCCCAGACTTGACACATTGATGCCCTAGATAGAGTTGTAGTTTTGCATTGTTATACTACTTTGTGCGTAATTAGTTTATAGCCGGTTTTTAATTAATTTCAATTTTATTACATTTTACTGTAATGGATCAGAGTGTCTCATCCAGCTTGTCTCCAGCCCTGAGCTTCCTAGTGTAGGCTTCAGTCTAGCAAGGCCCCATGCAGGATAATCGGACGATGGAGACCGATGGATATAATGGAGGATTGACGTGAAACATCAGACTGACATTGATTGATCTGCATAGGCTTGGGTTCATGTCTTTGTGTACAGATGCCAGAGGAGTGTGAAAACTGATGGTTTTCTTAGCGTGTGAAGGCGTGACGCGCCAGTGTGTCATGCGAGACAGGGTTGTGACATGCGCCTTTGTCTCCCCAGGTTAACAGGGTTCCAGATCCCCCCTCCGGTGACAAGCACAGGCTCTGTCTTCTCCCTGCGCCTCACCAGCGACTTCGCTGTGAGCGCCCATGGATTCAAAATTTATTATGAAGGTAAGATGCCATCTGGTCACTTCTGCTGATATTGTGTGACTTGCTGATTTGCCGTCTTCCGTTTCAGTTTGTTTGGCTCAAATTCTTAGTTTGGATGCCACACAGGCGTAAGACATACGACTTTTAGGCATTCTTTGATTTCCAATTTGCCTTCATTAAATTGTTATTACTGGGTGGCCTAAGATCAAACTGTAACGCCAACGAAGAAGGCATTTCATTCTTAAAAATGAAGGTTGTCTTTCATATTATCTTTAGCACATTGCTTCCATTTTACACATACTTCAGTGTTCAGCAAACACAGAATCTGAAGAGGCCTTAATCTGAAAGAGTATTACTGGTATCGCATAAGGTCTACTGTTTAATTATTTGTTCAAAAGCGGAGGAAAAGCTACGATAATTACAGATGTCTCTGTATGTGGCTGTTTGTTCTTGTATATTAATTTGTTCCGCAAAATTAACACGAAGAGCTGTCATTGAATTATGCTGCCATAATATTTATTTTATCACGTAATGTCATGCTTTTTGTCATTTATCATTGTGTTGTTGATGCCTTCGTCACCTACATGTTTGTTTCAATTTCCACTCCGATTTGTCGTAAATATTTAGCTTTATGATGTTATAGGATTAAGCTTAAAAATGAAAAAACTAGCAGTGTTTCAGATTTCTAGCTCATGTCAGCAAACTATGTTGCGAGTAATTATAATCAAGCCCAGGCGAGAAGTTCCTTGAAGATCACAAGGGGCTTTTATGTGTGCATTTGCACGTCTCCGTGTTTTGGCAAATGAGTTTAGTGCACACAAATAGATGCTGTCATTCTGCGGGGCTCGGTGCCTCAGCCTCGAGCCTTTTTACGAACACGCTATTCATTTATCTGCTTTGCATCCCAAAGGCTACAGTTAAGAGGTCTGCAGTTTGCTACAGACAGGTCAGCACACACATAGGTCCTGGCGGGCAGACGCATCATTGTGGACAGCACGCCAAAATGTCTGCTGGTCCCTTTTCTGCATCCCGACACTCCCCGCTACTAATGTTACGATTCCTTCATTAGTTAAAGCTCCCCCAGGTGTCACTCTGGACGTTCAGCTGTGTATAACTGTTTTTTTATATATATATATATATATATATATATAAATTATACATATAATTTACTGTATGTTAATTCATTAGTAGCTAATATCTTCAGCTCTAGTGCCTTTGGTAATGTAGTGGATATTTCTGAGGTGCTATATGCATAAAAACCAACACAGGATGATATTTTTCTGTGACACCCCTCTTCATATCAAAGTTCTTTTTTCTTTTTAATACCAAGCACTTAAAAAAGAACTCTGTAATTTTCTGCAATGGTGCTAAAATGGAGAAGTAAAGGAAAAGAACTTCAGAGCAGAGCTAGTCTATGTGAAGGTCGTTCTCTCTTTCACTACTTCTCTGAATTGCGTGTGATTGCCGTTTCAGTGCTGGTTACCGATTTACGATTTTATTCCTCGGCACACTAACTTGCTTATAAACATTCCCTTTTAAAGATGGTAGATGATACACCTCTGACTCATTTGCTATGCAAGAACATACACCAAGTGTCTGTGTCTGAAGGAATTACAATGAGTTTATAAAAAGACATTGATATTGCAAGTTTCCGAAAGAAAAGGAATTTTGAAATGCATTAAACGTTGCATGGAAAGGATTTCAGGGCAGTGATTCTCAGTATATGTATTATGAGGCATGACCAAGCCTGACTTCTCAATAATCTTTCAGCTCTTCTTCTCCTATACGGTGGGTCTCTGAGCTCAGAGAATTAATAAGAGTGACATTCGCTGGGACGGCAAGCGGCTTCCGATTCAATATGCAAGGCCAGGTGGCCTCGAGGAAGCTCCACAGTTTCCCAGAAGGCTTTGTAAATTGACGGGATATGGAATCAAAGAGGTCCCTTTGATGCCAGAGCCGATCTATTCCGGGACACCCCCCTTTTAGTAAATCCGCGAAGCTGGGAGCGTTTATAGATGGCCCCCGATGCGCAGACACCCACTGCGTGGCGCACACCTGCGCTGTAAAAATCTCCTTGCAGCGGTCAGCGTTCCTGAGAGCGCACATCTTTGTCTCCGTATGCTTTGGGATGTGTAAAAATGAGTTACGTGGCGGGCAGGGAGAGAAGCTGGCCGTGGCGTCCGTGGTATCGCCAGACGGAGGCTATTTTCTCGCTTTGCCTGAGTAGACAACTACCACCTTAGTATCCCCCCCCCAAAAAAAAATGCTAGTTTTTGCCTTCCCTGCCTGCACTTGCTCACGTCTGCCTCTTATCAGCACTAAATCCCCTCTGCAAGCGGTTACCCCCCCGCCGCCATCGCCGATCTCGTACCCCCGGGGGCCTCGGCAGGGGAGGCCGAGGGGGGGCGGTATAGGAAATAACAAGAAACTAATGGCAGACGAATGTGCTGCCTCCGCCGGTGTGCCGCTCCCAATCTGCCGCATCCGGGGGGTGGGGGCTGGTGGGAGCAGTGGGCCGGGGGGGGGCAGCATGCCAGGCTGGGGGAAGCAGGATTAGAACGCAGCAGATGTGGAAGCTGCAAAAGAGGCCGCAGTTGAGTCTTCACACGTCCCGTCTGCACTGCTGTCTGCACAGGCTTTTGCACAGGCTTTCCCAGTGTTTTCACGTTGTTTATGAATGTGATGTATTAATAAGCATGTCGCTCTATACAGGTTGTTCCTCTCCGCTTGGATGCCTGTCATTTATTAAAGCTGCTCCTCAGCTTTATTGTTTTTTCACTCATAAGGGCACATTGTTAGTGCAGGTCATCCAGAAAATGTAATTCTGGGTGGTAATAATTATATAATGCCGGCCATGCATTCGTAAGGTGGAATTAACGACGCCATGGTATGGGAGCCTGGCAGAGGCATGGTCTGCAGCTTGCAGCCAGCCCTCATCATCACCACCACGACCACCATCATCATCACCATCATCATAACAACTTCAATCATCATCATCCTTTTAATCCACTGGCCATTGGAAAAGCTGTACTCTGAATAAATCTGACTCGGATGCCAATCCAGAATGTGTGTTTGGCTCCTCTTAAAATCCACGGCTGGCCCTCCCTGCCCTCGTGACCTTCTAGAACAGCGTTTTCCAATCCGGTCCTTGGGGCTCCACAGACAATCCATGTTTTTGCTTCCTCCTAGCTCAGGAGCTGGGAGGGAGCAAAAATGTGCACTGTCTGGCAGCGCAAAAACGTGGACCGGCTGTGGGTCCCTGAGGACCGGATTGGGAAATGCTGCTTTAGAAGTTTCCCTGCGTACATCGTGTCTTGCAGGTATATCTAACACACAAGCTTTCAGCAGAGATTCAGGAACGGTATTACAGAAATGTGCCCTCACATTCTGGGAGCTTCTATTCCATGCTACACCTATTTGACATCTTCCTGCTGGAGTGTCCGAGCGAGATGGCTGGCCCTGCAGATGTTTGATCTGTGTTTATTTTTGGGGACTTGGGGACAGGTTTAAGCGCCGGTCGGGGAGCAGGCGGGGTCTGATTGGATGTTTACTGGAGCGGTGAAGGTTAACACTGCATTCATTGGCATTTTGCAGGCAGCCATGCACACAGTTCATGTAAAATGCATGTTGCATTATGCGGACACTGGCATGCTCGTGTCCGTCCGTAAAAAGCACCATGTAGGTATGTGTTGGCTAAATACCAGGGGGAGGTGGGAAAAACACAGTCCCCATTTAATGTCGGCCGCTGCAGTGACACGTGGAATGTGGCACATTTGACAGGCACTTGGTTTGTACTGATTAATGAGCCTCTCCCACTGTCAGCCGCGCGACAGGCAAAGTACTCCTGTTTCTCAGTCAGAGTGAGGCGTGACTTAACCTGTCCCAAGGGGGCGCTGTTGGGCAGGATGGGCAGAGGAGCCTTGGATGGTCTGGGCAGAGGTTTCCAGGTGACCCTCAGGCCACTGGGGGCGCTGAGGGTGCACTGCACTAGCAAGGTAATACTGCGGCCTTTTCCCTGCAGCCCAGACCTCCCCCTTAGGTGCTGGCCAGTGGACAGCGGCCGCATGGTAATAGAGCAGTCACCCATGGGCATTTCTGTCTGGAATCTGTCAAGTGATTCTACATTTCAGTAGAATTTTTATTTTATTTTATTTTTTCGCATGGCAGCGGATGCCGAATAATTCGGATGAGTACTGTGCCCAGTGCTCCAGGGACCACAGCTCCATCCCCCACCCCCACACCCCCCCATGCCCTGCGCCGAGGCGAGAGTACGTGCATTAAAAGTCTTTTAGCCGTCCTGTCAGGAAGCTGGTTCCCTTCAGTACAAACAGCTTGCCCACAGTCTGCAAAGTGCTACTCATCCAGCACATTTAATAAAAAAAAAAGCTGACACGATAAATGTCAAAGGAAAAAACTCTAGTATGGCTCTCTGAAGAGGCATTATCTGCGTTAGGGTAGCAGATATACAGCATTTTTATTCTTGGATTTCATTTATTTTCCAGATTAAAACAAGAAAACTGATTAAACTAATCAAATTAAAATATTCACGCTTAGTACAATAGGTGTTTCAAGTCTTTGCATAACAATATTGTTAAATCGTTTTTAATGCCAGAATGTAGATGTATAGACAGGCTGATTCTGCTTACTGTACATACTGTATTTACTCACCATTAAATTCTGAAATGATTTACAATCGATTTCTGAGGCTTGTTTGTATATAGAACGTTACATCCAGCTTAATCCAATCAGACTTCTTTTCTGTGCACCTTCCCATAATTCCCTGGCTGTACGATGGGTCTCACAAGATCCCAGTGGGTGCTGGGAAGCCAGACTGTGATCAGGTGATTAGGATGCACCTGTTTGTCTCTGCAGATGTGCTGTGTGACGCTCTGATTACAGTTCATCTGTCCTGCTGGTGAGTGGCGTGGGGTCAGTCAGGGGCTGACTCGTACACCCTCAGAGGAACGCTGGCAGACAACATCAAAACCTGCCGTGACAAAGGCTGTTTTGATGCTTATTTT